CCCGTAGGCAAGCATGCTGAATACCGCGGAACGCATCGCAAAGACAGCTATGACAGGGGTCACGCAGACATGAACATGAGCCGAAGTGGGTGCGCCGGGCGCTGGCACGAAGTTACGAGTGCGAGTGGTCCGCACGTACCACTTCACTTGTTCCCTGCACCCGGGCCCTGCTGGTTCTCCTTTTGTCCCTGCCGTCACCGTGCACTCCATTCCCTTGGGCTACCACTCACCCTCACAGTGGCATTCAACCACGTCGTATTGCCGTCATCCCTCCACTTTGTGCACGCTGCCTGTTATACTCGCTCATGCAACCCTCTTCCGCGTCCTCCTCCCGCTTCTCACATCACCTTCACGCCTACGAGCACGACGGATGCAGGAGACAACCCTCGACCTGGAGCTGGCTGCGCGAGAGCCTGAACGCCAGGATGTCAATCTGGACAACCTGCCGGCGGTTGCTCCGCCCGCACTTCTGCCTCAGCAGGCGCAGAAAGGCGGTTGCGCTGCCTGGTGGCACCATACAAGGAAGTATGCTTGGATCGTCGTTCGACATACGACAAAGCATACAGGGGTTGGAATTGTGTGCGCCGTTGCGTACTTTGATCCGTAAGACACCCGCTTAATCTGTCTTGAACCATGGAAGGTTGACGGCTACTAGGGGTTACTGGGGAGTTGACCTGCAGGCAGGATCTGAGTATGGGTCCAAGCTGCTCTTCGTAGCACTCCTTGCAGGCATATTCGCCATCGTCTTCCAAGTGAGTTACCTCTTCGTAGACGTTCTGGATCCAGGACTGACCGATGAAGTAGACGCAAGCATCTCGTCTCGGTTGCGTCACCGTAATGGGTACGCAAAGTAATATTCGAAATGATTCAAGCATGCTCACCTCCGTACAGATCTTGCGTCCCACTCCCACCTGCTATTCTACGACCGCCCAAAACACAAACTTCTATGGCACTGGCTCGCGCTGTACCCACTGTATGCGCTCGCCGAGATCGCCATCGTGAGCACCGACCGAGCCGAGCCGCTAGGGTCAGCAATCGCGCTCAGCCTCCTCCGGCGCAATGACGGCAACATGGACAAGACCGCATCCGCGTTCCTTAAGGGCGACACCGGCGATGCCCCAGCATCTACGCGGACCTGCCCAACCTCGAGCTGCTCAACGCGCCCATGAAGGGGCCGCGCACCCCACCCCGTGAGTCCTCCCTTCAGCTTTGTACTGGTGCGGGTTGTGTGGAGGAGGAAGAGGGAGCTGGATGAGAGGTTGACTCAGAGGGCAGTGTCTAGGCCGGATAAGGTGGTGATCAACTTGACGAAGGACAACAACGACAAGGAGCTTGCGCACACTGCAGGCGTCGTTCGAGGACCAGGGGAGCACGACATTTGGGCCAAGCAATAAGACCCCGGACTCGAACTGGGCTATGATCTCTTCGAATGTGTGCGTTCATTGCATGCTGTGCATGCTGAAGTGCTCATGTTTGCACGATAGGTAGAGAGGGAACGTGCCGAGCGGGATGTCGCAGGATGCCCAGGCGATGAGCCGTGCAATGATTCTGCCATGCAACGTTACCGAAGACACATTCAAGGAGCTCTAGCTCGAAGACAAGGTGTGCAAGGGCAATACGTAAGTGCTTCTTCTCGCTGATTCTCTATGTGGCGATCGTGCTGAGCGTCGAGTGCGTCTTTCTCAGCCCGTCGCGCTTCGCCCCACCGTCTATGGCTTGATCTACGCAGCTCTCTTCATCCATTCCCTGGGATTTTGCCGCAATCCCAGAGAACATTGGGGGAAGTGGGCAACCCTCCCTGCGCAGGGGACTCCTGAAATATGGCCTCCTGATAGTGGACCTGGTGCGTGACCCTGCCTGGTCTGGGGTCTGTGAGCAACGTGCTGAACAGTGACGTCAACCTTGATTTTCAGGGCGCCAGGTGTGGACCCTGCTAGAATTGATGATTCACATGGATCTGGTGCTGCTGGGAGACCTAAAAGCGGACGATGGTCCGCGCAACCTCGTAGCTGAGCGCTGAGCCTTCGAATAGTCCTGCTCTATGGTTGGGTGATGTGACTTCCCGTTAGTTGATCTATCATGGCCAATCTATAGACCTGTTGATGTCAAACTAGTTCTACATCTTGTACCAAAACCCAGCAACATAGAACGAAGCCCCACGGCTCAATGTCTTTCAAGGTGGATTGGCGCACACCAGGCAGGGCCATGAGCGCCCGCGCAGATGCCACGAAGTCAGTAGAGCATGCTAGCTAGGAGTGACGGAGTTCAAAATGGTTTGTTTCAATGCTTTGCCATCATTAACATTGTATTAGGTCTAATTTGAGGCGGAGATGGATAAGCTACGAAGTGGATAATGTGCGGAGAGCTGCCCATGCCGCGCATGCTAAAGCGCTCTAGGCTCCAACCCACAGGATCGGAGAAACCATGTTGTTGTGCGCGCAGCTAGGTGTACCATACACCCTTCTGATGAAAGTAATTAGCTNATTTATCTCGCAAGATCTGAT